AAACCTGTGCCGACGAAATTTCATCGGGATAGGTCTGTTGACCTGCCCCGACGAAATTTTGTCGGGAAAGGTCCTTTTAAAAAAAATAAATCTAAACTAAGGATATTTGGGTTAATTATTTTTAAAAAAATTTTTATTGTTAGTAATTAAATAATATATTTGATTTATCTAACTAGTAAAGTTAGTAATTATATTTTAATTATTATTTATTTAGTGAATAATTAGTATTAAAATTTTCAATTAACTTCATGAATTATGTTACTTAATAAATAGTAATCAACGGCCTTGTAGTTCAGGCCGTGAACCTAACAGCCGAGACTAGTTCCTCTCTCGGTTACAATCGTTTGATTAGAAGACCAGTTCAAACAGGCGCACCACTTATCCATCCTACACTCATCAACATCTCGACGCACGGTAGACCGTGCTGGCACGCCCGCGCACAACCGCACCGCACCTAAAAGCAGGAAACCGCGTGTCAACGCATATCCCCTAGGCCCGGAACTCCAGGCCGTGAGATTTGCGCGGCAGACAAACTCCTGTGATGTGAATTCTCCCCCACGATCTGTTCTAAGACTCCGTAAGAATGTCCCGGTTTCCTTCTCAACTCTTGCTTTGTAGGACTTGAATTTGGCAAATTCTTCTGACTTCTCTACCAAGAAGTAAACCCAAGTTTTCCTGCTGAAATCATAAATGAAAGTGATGAGATACCGTTTCTTGCTGTTTGAAATTGATGGGTCCGCATATGTCAGCGTGCACCAGCTGAAGAATGTTGGAGGCTCTCCACATGCTTTTGTTGGGAAATGGAACACGGTGCTGCCTTCCTACCAAGCAGTCTTCACACATCGTTTGAGAGGCTCTAAACTGAGGTAACCCTTTCACCATGTTCTTTTGTTGGAGCACTTTGAGCCCATTCCAACTGAGATGCCCATATCGACAATGCCAAAGGTTTGCTTGATCTGTGGTAAGTGAGGAGAAGCATTGTTGTTCCTTTGGTGAGCAACGAGCGAGCACAGCAAACATCCTGTTATGTGTTATCTCAGTTTCCAAGATTAAACCTTTCTCAGAATGAAAGATTTTGCATTTTCCATGTTGGATAAGCACTGCCATCCCCTTTTCTTGCAACTGACCGATGCTCAACAAATTGTTTTTCAAATCTGGTACGTAGAATACTCCTGTGATCATAAGCACAATTCCATTTACCTCCATTCGAACCTTACCCTTTCCTTGTATAGTAAGCCTTGAATCGTTGCCCAGCTTCACTGATTCTCTAAAGCTGCTATCGAGATCACAAAACATGTCTTTGTTGCTACACATGTGATTACTACAGCCAGAATCAAGAAACCAAATGTGCTCAGATGCAGCCCCTTTGAAATCCACAAGAGCCATCAACAACATCTCCTCTTTTGCTTCTGCATAATTTTCTGTTTGTTCCTTGACTCTCTTAGGACATTCCCATTGAAAGTGCCCTAACTCATGACAGTTGTAGCACTCTATGGTAGATTTGTCGAACTCAAACCTATCCCTTCCTCTTCCTCTTCCTCGGTAGGTGCCTCGGCCTCCACCTCTTCCTCCTTGCTGCGGTCCATGAGTAATTTGAAGGGCTTGTTCGTCTACCGCATGCCGGCTGACCCTTTGTTCATGCACCAAAAGACTGCTTTGGAGCTCATCTATGGACAGAGTGTCCAGGTCATGTGATTCCTCAATAGAACATACAACGTAATCATATTTTGAAGTCATAGACCTCAAAATCTTTTCAATGATTACCACATCATCCATTTTCTCCCCATGAATTCTCATCTTGTTGGCTATGATGAGAGTTCTTCCGAAGTAGTCATTAAGCAATTCTCCAGCCTTCATGTGCAGCACTTCAAACTCTTTGAGAAGAGCTTGCAGTTGAGCACGTTTTACACGTGCTGTTCCTTGATATTTTTGCTTCAAAGAATCCCATATATCCTTTGCAGTATTCTTCTTCAAGATGGTCTCCAGTATCGAGCGATCAATAGCTTGGAACAGGTAGTTCTTAGCCTTTAGATCTTTCAACCTTTGATCTTCAATGGCCTTCTTCTGTGACTCATTGTGATCCGTCCCTTCTGCTGCAGCAGCGATTCCCGTCTCCACCAGGTTCCAATATTCTTTGGAACGCAGAAAATTCTCCATTAGCACACTCCAATGGTCGTAGTGACCATCAAACCTTGGAATGGCAGGTTGCACAAAACTACTCTCGGATGCCATATCTGTGTTTCTTCACTCTAGTACCGGGATTGCAAGCTTTTGATTAGGCCCCGTGATGGTGCTCTGATACCAGATGTTAGAACCAAAGAGAAAAACAGAGAGTTTTGTGAATGCTAGTTAACTCGGAGAATGGTTATTAAATTGAACAACTACTGTGACTAATAAATAGTCTTACACTGAGATAGAAAGGGAAATAACAACCACGACTCTACAGGTCCTATAATCGTGGAGCATGACTACATTAAACAGAAAAACAAACTTGTCCCTCAAGTATAGGAGAGATTATTCAACACGACAAGAAGTGAACCTAAAAACAAGGAGCCCATACTCTAACAGTTTCATCACAAATGTCATTCAGCTATTGAAATCTCCACCAAGATAACAACTCTGATGCTAGGCGGCCTGGGCGGATCTAGGCGGCCTGGGAGGTTCTAGGCAGCCTGGGCGAGTCTGGGCATTCTTTTTTTTTCTTTTTTCCAAATGAAGACAGACAAAGCTTGCACTCGCAGTCCAATCTTCAAAATTCAAATACTCGGTCTTGAGCCTCTCTCTCAACTCAAGCTTGGATTTTTTTCCTTCGATTTTAGGCTGCTGCATTGATTCGATTATTTTTTGTGCTTTTCTGTTATTGAAGTTGGCAACGTCAGATGAGCATCCAAGGCAGTTTCTTAGTATGCCAGAAGAAGCCCATCAGATGGTTCTCTAACTTGAGGCACACCTTGCAGTTTGGCACTGGATTACACCATGCCGGTCTGAATGACAAAGATAGATCTCTGGTTCAGGCATTTCTGTTTTACGTCAGTAAGCATGAGTCTTTCCTGAAAAACACATTAGGAAAAGAGAATATAAAAAGATCATTTTCTTACTCTATATACTGATTAGGCATATGTATTAAATTATAGGTATTGGTTTGTACCAGCACATTGGCTTGGGGCGTAAACCTTCCAGGTCATCATCTGGTCATTATTAAGGTAAGGTAAAATTTGTGCGGTATCTTTTTCATTTGGTTCCTATATTTACAAAGGTTTCTAGTAGGAGTATATTGCAGCAGCTGTTCTTCATGACAAATTTAAGTAAGTGTTGATTCTCATGCAGGGAACAGAATATTATGATGGGAAAACAAAGAGATATGTTGATTTTCCAATATCAATCACAGATATATTGCAAATGATG